CTAATCATAAGTCTATTAGTTTAAAAATTAATCGCCAAAAATTTAAAGGCAGAATATAAAACCATATATTTCAAACGAGCTGTTCAAAACGACAGCATTAAAAGGCTATAGGATCTATTTAATAAGAAAAAGTACTATTCAAGAAATAACCAGGCAATCGTTTTTATTGGACTTACGTATGAGACTTATAACACCAACACCGTGGACAGCAATTTTTATTTTGCCCGGACAGGATTTCATGAAGGGAAGACCATAACACTTTTTAGGAAAGGACTACTATTTTAATACTGATATTCTGAAGAACAATTAAACCTCCAGAAGAAAATTTATCAGAGTTTGGCATTCAGATTAAAAAGCAAAAAATGCCGGAAATTCTCTCAATGATGTTTGAAGGGGTTTAAAAAAGTACTTTCCAAATTCTTTAAATTCTAAATGCACCTTCTTTAAAAACACTTTTTGCATACAGCTTCTCTCTCTATTACGGGTTAAAATGAAGTTAAAAGAGACTCGCGAAATCGAGGTTAAACTGTAAATAAATAAAAAAGCGTTATGAGAAATAAAGGAGGAAGGAACATCACATAACACTTACTTAAATCAGTACTATTGTTAAAAGCTATTGATATTGCATTTTTGGCGGTGGAGTTGTTTTCACTGTTTCTCACGTAAATTCCCTTTCGTCCCTTGCGTAAGGGACCATTTTTTCTCCTATCCTCAAGCAGCAAGTGTGGCCTTTACCAAAAAAAAAAAAAAAAAAAAAAAAAAAAAAAAAAAAAAAAACTGCTAATTCATGAAAAAAAGTGGTAAGAGGTATTTGCTGTCCCCGCTACTGTTTTTTTTTTTTTTTTTTTTTTTTTTTTTGTTTAAACCAGGCTGTCTTGGCAAAAACAATACAGCTAGAAATACATTCTTGAAGAGGAAGTGGAAATTGCTTTTCCTCTTGAAATCTGTTTTGCAAGTTTCTGGTTTGATGGCATGAGCCAATTCCTTTATAAACTAATTATATAACAATTCGTTTTGGCTCATCAGGACTTTTATGCGATTTAAATGAAAAACAAAATGTTTAGAAGGGACTTAGTTTAGTTTACGCAAAATGTATTCGAAAATAACGTTTTATCAAAAATAATGCGGGAAAATTACGCCATTTCTGTTTTTTTTTTTTTTATGAAAACAATCCTAACGGATGCGGACATAACTGGTAACGACCACACCTGAATACATAGTAGCTGACGACGACCCCTGATTATATAATAGGCTAACGGGTTTATGCTATATCATTAGGTTCCGGGTTGAGATCCCGGATAAGACTGAATTTGGCATTTCTGAAGAATGGGGTACTTAAAATCAGTCGAGAAGAGAGTCCTCTTGAGAGACTCCCATCCTGCAGGCCCCCCTACTAATGAAAGGGGCTTTTCTAAAATAGGTACAGAGCCCCTATGTGCTCTTCCTTATTAAAACAACTCAACATACCAGTTGACATTGTACTGCGGTCAAGATCTGAAACAGATATAAGAAAGGGCCTCTCATTATTTAAATAGTGGAGCATTTATCCTTTTAAATAATGATTAATTTTCGCCTTTTATTTCAAGTCATCGCAAAGAATATCTTTCATTATTTTAGTAATACAAATTTGTAATTGCAATATCACAGAAATTTAGATAATATATGCTTTTGTTTAATCAGTTTATAGATATCGACTTCTAGCTTCATGAAAATAGTTAAAATTCTTTAACCGATTGGATGTATTACCTGAAATTAGCCCGCACATTTTAGTTCAGATTAAACAAGTAAATGAATTTCTACAATGTATTTTTACGAGCTCAAATTTATACTGCTATTTTAATACAGTAAAACTTTTACCAGAACAAAAAACAAAAAAAAAAACTGAAAGTTTCACGTCAGTTAAAAAAAAAAAAGTTTCTATAATTTACTTTAATAAAGTACGCTACAGTTTTATGTTACAAGAATTAAAAAAAAAAAAAAATCTTTCATTTATTTTTCTGCCTTTTGCCTTTGTAAGCTGGCATCATTTTCTTAATTTTTCATTTTACTTTTGATTTTGTTCTTCGAAATTAAACCTCCATAGTCTTAAGTTTTAAGCTGAGGTATAAAACACAATTCTCTTTCGTACTCTAATTTAATAGCGATTAAAAATAATTCTTTTTCAATTAAATAAGAACAGGTAATAAGAATATCATACTACCTCCTTATATTTTTTTAAAGGCAGGAGAAATTTTAATTACGGTTCACCATTTAAGTATATTTATTCTTCTCGAAGATTTCTCGCGAATTCCCGGGTGGTTCCAAAGCTTCCCGGAAGTCTAAGAAATGCTTTTGCAAATTCACAGAATTAATTGTCTATGCTTATATATTTTATAATTAAAAAACATGTATGGGAAAAAATAGAATGGTATATTTCTCTATCAAGAGTAAAATATTTCAAATTTATTTGAAATTCTGCGAAAGTTTTTAGAAAATAAGAATTACTTCAAGCAAAATACTTAATAAATTTAGATCTTCATACATCCAAACTACATACGCTTTTCATAAAGATTTCGTAACAGCTAATCATAACACTAACATGATTTCACAAGTGTCTAAGAACCCTATAAATATTTTCGCAGATAATTTACGTCAAAATATAAAAATTTGTTTACTTTAATGAAAATTTCATCTATTCACATCTTTTTAAACAAATTGAAAATATTCGCTGTACGCGTGAAATTATAAATTACTGTCAGCAATTTTTTTTTCCTGTTTTCAAGAAATGCTCTGTTCGATTAAATATTTTAAAAGGCTATTCGCCAAATTCAGTTACAAGCAGAGTTTGATATTTTTTAATTTTTCGTCCCACTCCCATTTTGTTAAAGAGAATATTTAATAATTAAGACAGAAAAATTAGCGAATTTTTAATTTAATTATTTTCAATTTCTATGATTTTCACATTAAGAAGTTTGAAAGTAGAAATACTCGAAATGCCTGTTCCGTATTAAGTAATAATATATATTATTTTTCACTGAAAAATTGTTTTAATAGAAGTTTAATTCGAATAATCATTAAAATATATGAATTACTTCTCTAAATCTCGAAGATAATTCATTTAAAATTTTCATTAATGTTCCATGCTGGAAACACCAGCAGAAAAACGGTTAAAATATCAAACATATAATTCTAAAATTCTCTTCAAATAAGAATATAATTAATAGGAAAATACAGATATCGCTGGCATGGCTTGACTTCAATTCTTATTTACTTTGAAATTACTGTGGCTAATTAGAACAATGGAAGAGCCACGTAACGAATTAAACGGTTAAAAAATGGACTCATTAATCAAATGTCCAGTGATTAGATTTTCCTCGTTTAGCATGGGCATTAACGAACAGGCATGAATTAACATCCGGATATTAAAAAAAGTCCGGATGAATTATTATTTTGTGGGGGGGGGAAGTAAGACAAGGTATGTACCACGATGTAACTGAATTCATTTTTTTCACAAAGAGTTTCAATATATATATATATGCATTTTGAAAAAAGATTATATAAGATTACTAGGGGGAAAATATTTTTGAGCATTTTAATAGTTCACCTGCTTAAAAAAATGAAAACTTCAAGGAAAAATTACTGTAAACAAACATGATTCAGTGTAAACATTAGCACAAATAAGCATGATTCAGCGTACAAATTAGCATAAATAAGCAGGATTCAAAATAAAAATTATCACAAATAAGCATGGTTCCTACTCCAAGTGATCTTCGTAACAACCACCCTTTGAGTAATGCTGGAATGGGTTCCAGCAAAACTGTAATATGTGCTAACTTTAACATTGAATTTTTTCATCTGTTTACCACTAAATATTATACAGTTAAAAAAATATTTTTTTATGTAAAGCAAAGCATACCTTTTTTGATAACATTAAAAATAAATTTACTTTTCCCATAAATCGAGCTTTTTATTTGAACTAAAATAAAACCATGAAAATATTTTTAAGCTTTAAAACTAAACACATAATTTTATTTTTATTTTTACTCCACTAAAACTAAACAATGAAATCACTTTTTACTTATGTAAAACATGACGCATAACCAGTTTGTATTCAACTAAAAGCGAAATAAGGAATTACTTCATTGACGCAAAATAACGAAATAATAAAATTAACCAAGATGTAATGTTTCAAAGAAATGATTTAAAAAAATAAACAGTAAGTCTGTAATATTATAACACGTAAATAACTTTTACTTTAATATTTTAACATACGTTCTTCCGGAACATTATATGCTAAGCTGCATACGTCCATTTTTTAATTTCTTAAAAAATATTTATTCTGTTACATTATTTTCTACGTTATTTATCGATGAAGTAAATATTTATATTGATTGAAATTGATAAAAATATTAAAAATATGTACGTAAATGAACAACAAACTTAATTTTACATATTCTAAGAGAGAAAAACAGGCGATCGGTTTCAAGACATTTGAAGCTCCCAATATTACAGTTCTAAAGTACTGAGAAATCGTTGAATTGTCGGTTCCATTTGCCTTATATCATGAATCTTATTTGGATAATTTGTAATTACTGGAATCATAAACCTTTAACATCAACTCATCAACTCACTGTGGGCATTTTCGGACAAGATGGCCACAAAACTATTTTGTGACTTTTGATTTCTGTGGTGGCATCGAATAAAATCATCGCAATTTGGTAATATCATTCGAATCTAACCCAAGTAGCCAACAAATTGAAACAGGAGCACATACATATTCAATCACAAGTTTGGTTTCAGGTGGCAACAGGAATTGTTAAATTCTTCCCAACTCTTGTGTCTGATGTAGACTAGAGAAATCAGCTGCAGTCCATGGACTGCAGCACCGCTATGTATATTTCTAAGAAACAATTATATAAATGTAATTTTCACATAGTGTTAAACAATACAGCACAGGGGGAGGATATGCAAACAAAACACCTTTGGCTCTTTTCTCGTAAAATGCAAAATTTAGGACTCACCACACGCGCAGGTTGTAGTAAGGTTCTTCCATTGCCACGGGACGGTAGGAATATTCCAATCGCTGCGCTCGACTCGCAGCCGCGGTAAGGCCAAACTAGGCCAGGCCCGGTCACGGCCAATGAGAGCGGGCCGACAGTTTTCACCAGGAGGTTAGTGACCGCCTGGCCTACATTGGACTCTCTCTTATTCGAGTTTTTTCTTTCTTTTTTTTTGCTTTTCTTCTCTTGCTAGCGAGTGTTTGTGTGAGAGTTCATCTTTTTTTTTTTTTCTTTTCTTTTCTTTTTCTTTTTCCATCATGCGCAACTCGTTGCCTGATCTGGAATAAAAGGGGTAATCTGCATATTTATGTTTCCTCTCGTTTAGGAAGATCTAATCCGCAGGGATTTCTCTTTCTCTCGCTCTTCATTCCTTGGGATTAAATCTACTTTTATCTCAGTTTTCTAATATTTCTAATCGATGGAATGTTTTTAAACTGCTTAGCAATAATAATATATATTACTTTTGCAACAAAATCACTTTTTTTTTCATTATGCTGAACAAAGGTGCAAGTAGTTGTCTTAGAAAATCTTAGAATAGTACTTTAATTCGATATTGACGAATAATAGTTATCTTGTATAGAATATTATGGAGTGTATATTTTTAAAAGAAGCTGAATTGTATCCTTAATTTTACTTTGAATTGTAATAAAATGTAACTGTACATATGGTAAACTGTTCTCAAGATTCCAAATATAGTATCATATCATCACGGTATTACAGTAATTTATTATTGTACTGAGACTCCAATACCTCTTCTAACTGAGGTGCAGACCGGATATTCCATTTTTATGTCTGTATGGTATACATGCATGTATGTATATGTACGTATGTATGTATGTTCTTCGCATTGTCGAAAAACGGCGGCATATAATTCTACACTATGTACACCTTGAGTATTGAATTTTTAAATTCAATATATATATATATATATATATATATATATATAAGGTTTCAAATTTTAAATTACGTACAGAGGGTTTCTTTTTTAACGTTTTGTGTGTTACCTTCATTTATTAAATATCATATTCTTTGCACTTCAACCATAAAATTCAGTTCAACAGCAATGTCGCAAAATAATTTTAAAATGAGCCTATCTTTAGAATTTCCGATACACTGTTTGTTCCGCGCGCTGGAGATAAAAAGGTTTTTTTTCTCCATAGAGTGTTGCCATTGCTCGCTTTTTTTTTGATTAACAAACTAAACGATTTCAAAGCGAGCAACGGCATTACTGTACTAAAAAAAAAAAAAAAAAAAAAAAAAAAAAACATTTTTATCTCCAGCGCGCGAGACTCTGTATCGGAAATTCTAAAGATATTCTCATTTTAAAATTATTTTGCGATATTGCTGTTGAACTGAATTTTATGGTTTGAGTACGTAGAACATGATATTTAATAAATAAAGGTAGCACACAAAACGTTAACTAAACGCCCCTTTGAACGTAATTTTAAATCTGAAACCTTTCAGTTTTTTTTTAATATTGTTATATTTGGAAGATGAATGAAAGATTTATGCCACACTAACTGGAAATTTTTCTGTGGTACAGTTGACTATTTTAGATGGAGATGCTCGTCTTAATTGTAGTAGGCTAAAAATAAAAGCTATCAAAAATGACAGAGATCCCAAAATTAGAACTTCCGCGTGTCTAGTACTATTTAACGAAACCTGGAAGCTGGTAAAAATTACCTGAAACAGCTGATAACGCGTTCAGCTGGATTGTAAAAAAATAATATTATTATTCATTAAAGAATAAATACATCATTTCATTAAGTTTAAGAAACAGTCATTCTTAATAAATAAACATAATAACAAATAAAGATACTATTAAGCTAATGAATAAACCTAAATAAACCTAAGTTTTAAAACGCAATAAACTTGAAACTAGTGTAGTGAGTTCAAAGGCTGTGGTGCAGAGGGTGGAGAAAGTGAAGCATTTGCCTCAGGTTAATAAACGAGACGATTATGGCAAATTAAAATATAATAAATTACTAAATTAATGCGAAAACGATGAAAAAAGTGTTTAGAAGGCAAAATGATTTACCGCGGGTGATTAAATCTCTCTGAGGTGAAAGCGATAAAATTTGATTACAGCGATAAGCTATTCCGAAGACAATTAAAAGATTTTACGATAGTAGATTCCCAGCTACTTTTTTTAACATCTTAAAGGCGGTATTATTAGTCCAAAGGGATTTGAATCCCGAAGAACTATTAGTTTCGTTTTGGCATTTTGCGTCGGACTCATAAATGTCGGTTCACTTTTCAAACTGTTGCCACAAAATGTTAGAGTCCTGCATTATATTTGAAGAAATTAAATAATGAAAAATCTGCATAAATGTATGTATATTTCTCGTATTGTGATAAAACAAAACAACGGTACATAGAGTCATCGAAATTTTGAATAACGTAATCCTCCAACGAATATGAGAGCATGTGGAAGACCAAATTTGAAATTTGAAATTTGTTTTATGATCGATTTCCTATTTTTTAAAAACTTTGACGAATTTTTGATTAACAAACTCAAGGATTTCAAAGCGAGCAATGGCAACGTTGTGCAGAAAAAACATTTTTATCTAAAGCGCGTGAGTCTCTGTATCGGAAATTCTAAAGATAGGCTCGTTTTAAAACTATTTTGCGATATTGCTGTTGCACTGGATGTTATGGTTTAAGTGCGAGGAACATGATATTTAGTAAAGAAAGGTAACACACAAAATATTAAAAAAGGCCCCTTTGGACGTAATTTAAAATCTGAAACATTTCAGATTTTTTTTTTTTTTTTTTTTTTTTTACTACGCAAACTTTGTGTCCTTAACAAAATAAAAAATTGCTGCCAATTCGCTTGTGTAAAGCATATGTAACAAACCTCATGAGTATGCGAACTTCATGTCCCAGCAAAATAGAAAATTGTTGCCACTTCATTTGAGTAAACTATCTTTAACAAACTTCATGAACATGCGAAATTCAAGTTCCTAGCAAAATAAAAAATTGTCACTTCACTCGTGTAAAATATGTGCTTCAAACTTCATTAACAAAAGATCTACTGGCAAAGCCTATTCGATTGTAACTGGAAGGTCCAGAGTTCGAATCCCAAAGAAGACATTTACTGATTGCTACTACTGGTTAATCTTTGGATTATGGTAACTTGGCGATTTTTTGGCGAAAATTTGGCGACCAACTCTGCTACAGCAACCTGCTAGTTTTGTTTTGGACGCCATTTTGTTTTCACGAAATAAAGGTTTTTTTTTTTTTTTTTTTTTTTTTTAACTCAACATTTTTTCCAACAATCTGCTAGCCGAATTATGCTTATACTAGAACTTTTATGAAACATTTTATGGAAGATTAGGTGCGAAATTTGGAGAAAGTGCAGAATCGCAAACTGCTTTCCGCGTTTTTAAGAATTGTACATACACGGTATCATCCATGTACACGTCGATCTATTTTTTTTTTTAACTCAACATTTTTTTCCAACAATCTGCTAACCAAATTACGCTTATGCTAGAACTTTTATGGAACAAAAATGCTTAATCATGACGAAGATTAGGTGTGAAATTGGGAGAAAGTGCAGAATCGCAAACTGCTTGCTGAGTTTTTAAGAATTGCACATACACGGTATCATCCATGTACACGTCGACGTATTTTCACTTTAAAAAAAAAATCTCAGAATTGCACAAAAATGGCATTGCGCACACTCTTGACTTTATCCATGTACACTCTAAAGTCCTAGCTAGTAACCTTTATCGCCTTACCAAAATGTCGCCAAACTACCTGTTACCATATTCCAAAGATTAGCCCTACTACTTTCTGGCTTCGAAAAATTCTATATGTCTTTACACGTGGCGTGCTAACAAAATGTGGTAGACGATAATTTATCATTACCTGGATTTGGTGACTGCGTTATCGTCTCAGTCAGCTTTAAATTGGGGAAGAATGTAAGGAATTTATTAATTACGATTTTTTCTTGACATCTGGCAGTGCAGTTTTGAGCAGATCTATAGAAATAGATGATATTTTATGTTTTCTGTAACGTGAGTTTCTGTGAATAAATTCTTAATCTTGTAGGACGTTCAAATGCTAAACTGGAATTTGAATACGAAGATCAGATTACAGTTATTTCCATGAAATCTTAAATTAAAAAAATTCAAATGTTTAAAATATATTTTAAAAATGTGAAGGTAAATCCTTCTTTGAAGTGTTATTGCAATCTGAAATTTCTAGAAATTATTTCTGCCCCAGATACAACTTTTAGCAAAATGAAAAAAAAAAAAAAAAAAAAAAAGATACCAAATTTTTAGCCCAAAGGCGTTAACGAAGAACAGTTATTAATTTTGTTTCGGCATTCTGCGTCGATTCACTTTCTGCAATGCTTCACTTTTCAAACTGTTGCCACCAAATATTACAGAATTGTATTTTATTTAAAGAAATTAAATAATCAAGAATGTACATAAATGTATGCATGTTTCTCGCATTGTGATAAAAAAACGGTACCTAGAGCCATCCAATTTTGAATAAAGTAATCGTCCAGCAAATACGAGCACCTGGAAGCCCTAATTTGGAATTTGGAATTTGTTTTATAATCTATTTCATATTTTGTCAGACTTTAAACAATTTTTGATCAAGAAACTCAACGATTTCAAAGCGAGGAATGGCAACACTGTACGGGAAAGAAAAAAAAAACAAAATTTTTTTTATATCCAGCGCCCGAGACTGTGTATCGGAAATTCTAAAGATATTCTCATTTTAAAATTATTTTGCGATATTGCTGTTGAATTGAAATCTATGGTTTAAGTACAAAGAACATGATACTTAATAAATAAAGGTAACACACAAAACGTTAAAAATCGCCCCTTTGGGCATAAAGTAAAATCTGATTTTTTTTTTTTTTTTTTTTTTTTTTTTTTTTTAGATTTAAAATTTATAAGCTTATAGCGATAAAAGTCACGGAATATTTTAGCCTACGTGAAATTACCCGAATTTTTTAAAGTTTTTTGGGATGAGTTTGATCTCCATTAGACCAGATACTTGAAGTTATAATGTATTCAGAGTTCGATTAAGATAATCTGTGGCCTTCTGCAGACATATCTTTCAAAGGCTCTCGAAGCTCACGTTCCTTATTTTT